AGAAGGCTGGCTGCTCCTTTCGGCTTCACGGGATTCGTTTCCACGGTACGCAAAAGTGCCTCAGCCGCGGGCAGCCGCAGTGCTTCCCAATTACTATTTGCCGGCGTATAAGACGACCCGGCATATAAGACGACCCCCCCAATTGGAGGCATGTTTTTCAGGGCAAAAAAGTCGTCTTATACGCTGGCAAATACGGTAAGTCTTCTCTCGATTTTAGCACTTTAAAAAAAATCAGTGCCTGTTACATCACAAAGGCACAGTAGCAAAGACAAACAAGAATGTATGCTATGCATTTTGAAAATCAGACCTATTTGTATGCTCCTGACCTCTCTCGTATAACATGAAATGCTAAGTTCAGCATTATGATCTTGGAACTGTTTTATTTTAAAATAAGTTCAGCAATATAGACATTAGAAGGTAACATCAGGCTTCCTTTAATGATCATTTTACTGAGAAATGAAGATGCCCAACTGAAATTTGCATCTAAACTAGTTCTATGGGCAATTACTTATACGGCAGCCTACTTTTATAGACAAACTATCTCCCAAAACTCTTTGTTATGGACAATTTATTGCAAATCCATTTACATTAAGCCAGATTACTTCATTAATAGAGCATACAAAAGGAGAAATCTACTGTTGCTTGGCAAAGAAAAGCTTGCTGTCTTTCACATTAGGCTTGATGGTGTCACCGCCAGGTTGCCAGCCAGCTGGGCACACTGTAGCAAGAACAGGAACAAATGTTAGAATAGATAATTATTTTGAAATAGGGATTTTTCAAGACAAGAAAGGGAGCAAACCTAAATAACAAGGCTGCCTCTTTATTTCTGTTGAAATAAAAAGATGAATAAAGAGATGAAACCAGTTAGTTGAATTAACAACAGAAATACACCCAAGCTAGTTCATAACATGGATGTATATATGCTTGCACACTATTTAGAATTTCTACAAAAGACAACATTTCCCAAAATTCAGTATTTTCTGCTGGAATATATTTGCATAAAACGGTGATGTTGAGCCTTATTTTATCTCTCAAACCCCCCCAAAAATAAAAATATGTTATTTTGGGTTTTTTTTTATCCTCTTGGATAATATGGTTTAAGATGGGTATAATGTAGATCTGAAGATATCATCAGCAAGGATCATAAAAGATTTTAGAAATTAACAATTGCAATGGCAGAAATGGCTAAATAAACTATGACGACTTCATGCTATCTGGGAACTGTTTGCACTTTGGGCAAACCAAGAATTCAATCTATATTCCTGGTTCATACAATGTTAAGCAAGCCATGGAGGAAGCAGGACTGCCAGGATATCCAAACTCAACTTCATAACATTCTAGTATTTATTTAATGGTATTTAATGTAGTCAGTTAAGGCCATTTAAGATGCTCTTGCTCTGAGGGGTTATTGTATATGTACACTTTTAAGGCTCTACACTCTACTTCCAGTTTGGATCTAGAAGCTCCTACTCTGGGGCTTCAGAATATGCATGTCTGCCTGGGAAGGCAAATGCCTCATGCTTCTTTACTGGCTTAATTACCAATAGTTATTTCACTAGAAGTTGTTCTTTTTATGAAATGTTTTGGACAATGATTTACACTCTATAGATATATGGTCCTAAATTAGAGGACATAACAGGGCAACTAGCTATTTCTCTACACGCAAGCTAGTTGTGCAAGTTGAGATTGTTACATCAGATCAAAGGAATTTCATGTTCATTCTTGAAACTGTCTTCAAGACACAGCATGAGAAATGGAAAGATACCAAGCTTATGTTCCAGTATGCTCCAGGCAAAAGTTATTAAGAGTGTTGCGAACTGTATCTTAAGAATTCCAAATTACATTAAAAGGCTCTACTGAAGAGGTTCACTATTTGGCATGGGCATAAAACGTTAATTACTTTCTGAAACCATGTCAGCAACTATCTGTCTACCTGATTACTTACAGGACTTCTCTGTCCCTGATCCAGGAGGCGCATGCTCTGGGTGTCATCAGCTAAGGAGTGTCAGCTGGTGGGGCCCAGAAAGAGAGCCTTTTCTGCAGTGGTGCCTACTCTTTTGAACACAGTTCCCTCTGAGATTAGATTAACTCCATTCTTGCTGATCTTCCACAAAGCCCTGAAAACTTGATTTATAGTTTAGTGCCTGAACTTGGTGCCTTGGATGCATGACAGAGCTTATCTCCTTGCTATATTAGTGATTTTTTAAATGACACTTGGATGCTAGGTCTTCAATTTTTTTTATACTACCGGTATGTATTTTACCTAATTTAGAGTCACATATGTGAGGTAGATGCTACATAAATCTAATAAATAATTCCACCCATCCACACCAAATATATAAAAATGGCTGACATCTTCATCAAAACCCAGGGGCAAATACTGAAATTTGGTAATCTTGCAAAACGTAAGCAGCAGCTGGGAAGATTCTTGGTCTCTGCTTTGCTAAATGACAACTTCTCATTGTAGCTTTCCCATAACATAGCTGTTGAACATGCTAGCTAAGGGATGATAAAAACTGAAGTCTAAGTCATCTGTAAGAGTTGAGACTGGGAAAGAAAGCGGCTAAGGTGAAGCCAAATTTAAGTTATCTTTCTGCTAAATTGTTTTAGAACTGTTATGCAATCCCCACTGTGTCTCACTCAGACACATCATAGCACCCTAAAGAGAAACAAGGCACTATGAGCCAATCTTAAATTGATCATCTTTCCCAGAGCACTACTGCTATATCTTTCTATGTCCACTTCATTATCCCAGGATCTGTCACACACCTTCACCATGCTGGTCTGTAAATTGGAAGGCTTGAACCAGGCGCAGTGTCTCATCCACAGAACGTCCCACAGGTAGGTCATTGACTGTGATCTGTCGCAGGATGCCTTTATCGTCTATTATGAACAGGCCTCTGAGGGAGAAAAGGTGCAATACCAATTACAAGCATTATCATTTTAAAATGATAATGGAACCTATTAGAACCTTCTACCTATCAATCAATAGGACATAGGGCTAGATCAACCATGAACTGTGACATTTTGAATTTTTGCATATGCAACTTTCTCAATTTTAAGAGTTAAGCTAGAAAAAAAGTTAAGGCTAGGATAGAGAGATCCAGTGAATTCTATGAACCACAGATATTCTTTTATCTTGTAAAGGCTCCAGGTCTGCATTTGCTAAGAACTGGATTACTATAGCTTCCCTATATTTACTTGACCAACATGTTGTTGTTTGAGCAACATGGATTAGTTAGACATAGCTAATAAACAGAATATAAGTTAGTCCTATGACGCCCTGGTCACTCTGCTTACATCTCTAGGAACAATATGCTAACTGGGATTATATCAGCTAAACTACCAAGATATCCATCACCTAACAACAGGTTTTTCCAAATTCACTTAGAATTAACTTTTCATACCTGTATGCAATGCCATCCTCTTCCTTGAGCACGCCGTAATCCTTACAAATGTTATGGTTGATGTCTGCTACAAGTGGGATATTTGTTGAACCCAAGCCACCATCCTTTCTTGCTGTATTTGTCCTACAGGGAAAAAATAATATCCACAATACTATTGTTTTAATGACCTGAAATTCACTACACTGAAACCATTTAGGTTTTAAAAATTATTAAATTAACCAGCAACTTTAAACATAGAAAATATTTTCCTAACTAAACACACAACTTTGTGAAAGTAACTGTGTCTGAAAAATGGGTAGATCGTTTTTCTCTTCACTAAAAAAATGGATTTTCCAGAGAGCCATTTCATTTACAGTGGACTTTGCTGGCTCGAAGTAGTGCATACAGTTCTCTGCACCCATTTCAGGTGTCTGGCATTAATTGTACAACCAGCTTATGTCAGCTAGTGAGCCAGCTGATAACCCCCTAACCAACAACCAAGTTTTGCTAGATAAAATTGGTGGAGACCTCCACACCCATCTGTCAGTTAACATCTGCCTAAGTGCTTCTCGGCACTATAACTGCAAGGATTTCTTGTGACTGGTATATCAGTTGTACCTTCTGCCTGAGTATGACTGGAATATTTCCAGTTCCTAGGCAAGAACGAAGCCTGAGAAAAGATCTCCACATATCAGCAAGATCCAGGCCAGGGTACACTTCTTAGAAAGCACAATTATTCCTTTCTGTCAGTGTCCTATTATTAGACAGTTTTTAATATGCACCTCTGGAACTAGTTTTCCAGCACAACAACTTCTATGAATAATTATATACTAGGAGTCTCACCAAGCCAAATGGGTAAATTGAGAGTCGACAGAAGCAGCAATAACCTCACAATTAATCTTGCGGAACTCCTCAACTCGATCGTTGAAAGCTATTATCTCAGTGGGACAGACAAAGGTAAAATCCAGTGGGTAGAAGAACAGAACCACATATTTGCCTATATGGAAGAAATGGGCATCAGTAAAACAATCACAATCAAGAGTCCCAGAATCTTTGCACTCCCATAATCTTTTGGCTAGTATTCCTGTTAAAGTTTATAAATGGAATAAAATTTGGAGTCACTAGAAGAGAACACTCATAAGGTGGTTGCATCTTATCCAGATCAAATCAGGACCTTTCTTCCAGTTACAAAACAAACATGCCATTTATCTATGCACATTCATTTATATTTATACTGTCATTATTTTTATAAATAACCCAAGACAGTGAAGACACACAATACTCCTTCCTATTTTTTTTACCCTGTAAGGTGAGTTGTACTGACAGTAAGCGACTATCACCCAAAGTGACCCAACCAGCTTTTATTTAATGCAATGGCTACCTAGACTGAATATGTTCCTGTTCTTCATTCATAGTTATAACACTATCAATTTAAAAACACACTCTATGAACTGTCAGCTACCTCTTCTTTGGCTTTTGGGGGAGGGTGGTGCCTTCAAGTCAGTTTTCGACTCCTGGCAACTGCCTAGGCAACTCCCTATAGTTTTCTTGGCAAGGTTTTTCAGATGTGCTTTGCCACTGCCTCCTTCCTATGGCTGATAGACTGGGAGGTCCAAGGTCACCCAGCTTGTTCCCTAGTTTATAGCCTGATGCTTAACCACTACACCAAATTAGCTCACTGATAATATATTACATCTTACACTAAGTATGATGACATAGATCTTAAACTACAAATGTATCCTGGACTGGAGGCTTTCATTATGGTTGTGCATATGAAGTTACCCTTGAAAAGCATTTGAAAGCTTTAACTGGAGTGTAATGGTATGGGCAGTCTTTGAGGCCTCTACAGTGGCCCATGATACACCACTGTTTCACGAGCTGCACTGGCCGCCTGTTTGCTTCCAGGTACAATTCAAGGTATTAGTTATTACTTATAAAGCCCTGCATGGTATGGGTCCAGCTTACTTGAGGAACAGTCTGACCTCTATGGGACAAGCCTGCCACACCCATGTTGGCAGAGGAGGAATGCTGCAAGTTCCACCAAGGAATTCCAGATGGGGTGGTGGTGTCCAGGAGAAGAACCCTCTCTGCCATGGCCCTTGCTCTTTGGAACATGGTACTCCCTGAGGTGAGATTGTCTCCTGCCCTCCTGACTTTCCACAAGCACATAAAGACCTGGCTCTGCCAGTTGACTTGAGGCCCAATGAGGGAATATCACACTGGAGGTGGCTGACTGATTTAGTAGCAGTTCCCACTTCCCCGCCTGGCCCCTTCTTCCCCATCTTTAGCTATAACTTGTATTGTATTGCAATTTTAATGGGATTATATACATTTATAAATGTAAATTATTCCATTTATAAATGTATGTATAAATAAAATAATGTAATTATACATGGCACACATTATACAATATTTTATAATATAATATTGTAAGCCATCCAGAGTTGCCTTGCAGTAAAATGGACAGCAAACAAATTTAATAAAATAAAACATGAAAGCATGTGCATTTCTTCTATAATTACCAAAGATGCCGACATTGCTAAAGTGGATTCATAAAGCATTCTATTTGGAAAATGCATCTTAGCCTTCCCATAAAGTCTAGACAGGTTAGAATACTAAGTAATCCAATGGATGCACAATTAAGAACTTAATAGAAGATACAGTGCCTTACCTCTGTAGTCTGATAACTTTATATCTTTGATGTTGCCATCTACCACTGCTGTAGCACGAAAATCTGGAACTGGTTTCCCAATATATGCTTTACCAGAGGCCATTTCCTAAAATATCAGAACAATAATGTATGCCTTAAGCTGGCAAGGGCACCACTTCTCAGGAATGATTGGTTGATTGAGTACATATTGTTTAATTACCTTTGATTATTTAGAGGCAGCACTATTTTGGCCTCTAACTCTTTCCCCATTTTCTGACAACTTTTACCCAATTAGAGCCTATAAACTCAGAGAAAGAGCAAAGTCTACCAATCCAGCATAATGCTCTATTCAAAGTCCTAGTCACAGGAACTGGTTCAATAGAATGGTTTAATAATGATTTTAAATCCACAGCAAACCCTGAGGCATGCACTGTGAGGCTATTAGGTATTCATATTCTTTGTTTTGAGGAGCAACATGCTGCATTTCCTAGTTCAGATGCCTCCATCTTACTAACTATAGAAAGAAAAAGTATGGTGCAAAGAGCTACCAACCAAGCCATTTATTATTTCCAACCTGGTCTTGACCTAAAAGGTATGTTTATAATATCCCAGAAATTTCTACTTTATTTTGGCAATAGTTTTCATCAGGGAAAAAAGCAACTTTTTGGCCTTTAAAGCAGCCAAATCATCTGGTAAGTTTAGAACATGCTTAAGCTTGAAAATACTTTCACTGTTGCAAACTGGTAAGATCAAATTGAATTTGAATAAATATGAAAAAGTCCAGTAGCCAATTTAAAGTAATAACCCCAGTTTTTATCCAAGCTTTCTAATAAAATGATTTACCACCAATTTTCAAATTAGAATTTATGAAACTCAAATTATGTCCAATATGGTCTAAAGATTTGTCACTATTCCTACTATTGGTAACAATATTGGTAATAAAACCTTTTCTTGCTCTATGTTGTTCTAACCATTTGCCATGATCTCAATTACTAATCTTCTGCTTTAGCCCATAAAAGAAAATATTCCATTATATTTTCATTTCACACCAGCAAAAGATGGCTGATAAATTATTGGTCCAGTGGTACTTTTACAGAACATATAAATTAAAAAAAACCACTTTCCTCAAATGATAATCTCACTTTAGCTAAGGAAAACCTTGGTGATCCATTTTCCCAAATACATTCCCTAAATAAGTTTTCAATATATTTATTAAACCATAGAAGTACCTATAAGAATCATAAAGGAAATAAAGGAAAAATTTCATAAGAATAATTTTAATTCAAAGGCTTAAAGGAATTTTAAGCTATTTATTAACATCCACTTAGTAATAATGTTCAACATATTTCTTAGTATTTAGAAATACCTATGGGTTTTATACAGCTCTCCAAATGTGTCAGTAGAAATCACAAATCCCATTTCTTTACCTAACTATGTATTGGGATCCAGGAAAGCCAAGCTAGATTTATTCCAGTTAGAACCAAAATACTCTACAATCTTTATAAAATTAGACAAAGTAGAATATTGATCCAAAATTCTTAAATATCACCAGTATACAAAAAGAAATTATATCTACACCCTTCCCAACCTTTAACATCTAAAGATTGCCTTAGATGGTGGCCAAAACTAAAGACAAATGCAATTTATTTTTTATAACCTAAAAAACAACAGCAACAGCAACAGACCAAATAAAAGTCAGAATGGATTCAAACTTCAAGCATAGGAAATATTATAGTTTGGGTCAACTCAATATACACGTGAAGACAATAACCAAAGACAAGCATATATCTTTTTCAATCTTCAGAAGAATTTACATTTCATTTCTTTTCAAAATATTTATACATTTCCCTCCCTATAAGTTCTTGTGTGAGCAGAATAGATAATAAATGTATAGTATAAAGGAGGCAATTGGTATTTTCTTTTTACTGCATTTTCTCTGCATTAAAATAAAACTCTTGTCTCTTTTGGGAGGCTGGGGCAGGTAGTTCCCAAATAGTCTCAAATTTCAGTGGAAAATCAAAGAACTACAGCACAATTTCATCCTTTTTTCTTAGAACAAAAATGTGAAAAACTTATTCTAGGCTTGGGGTAGAGGTTGTCCTTATATATTAATAAACTGACAAACCCCCTCCCCCCATGACATTTCACAAACTGGCTGCTGTGATAGTGTGCAGCTGAACTGGCAGGGGAGGAATGAACTCAGCAGTAGCACCCAACTTCCCAGGAAGGAGACAGCACATTCCAGAGAAGGAACTAAGAGATTGTGTAGTCCTGAACTGGATGTGGGAAGGAGGAAAAGCTTTAGGATAGCCACACCTTAGATTAGCTTTGAAGGTTATAGCCTAAGTCTTGCAAGACTACATTAGATGTAAGCATATAAATAACTGGATTCAATTGGATCTGTTGTCTTTGGGCACCAGTAGTTTGAAAAGACACCTTACCCTGACCTAACCCTCTCTTTTCAAACTATTGCAGTTCTAAATGATGGCAACCACAAGTTGGTACAGATCATTCGTGAAAATTTAAGGGTATAACTAACTGGTCCTAGCACTGCCAAGCACCACGCTCTTGCTACAACAAGGGCCAAAATCAACTAACTTAGCTCAAAAGGGGCAGTAATGCTTTAAGATATTTGGTTTGGTCAATAGGTTAAGTAACTGCCATCTTTTGAAATAAGCTTTGGGAAGTTATGCCCCAGCAAAGGGACTGGCTGCACCTAGCCAATTCTTGTGCTACATGTTGTCTTCCAACCTTGACCATTTCCAGACCTGCAGTTCTTCAGCAGTTTAGAACATAGAATAAGAGAGTTCTATTACATGCTGTTACTTCCTGCCATAAAGAGTTCCAGCAACCAATGACTTCCAGGACTATTAGCAGCTAAGTCCTACTTATTAGGGAGATTATGAGTAGGTGTCAGAGAGAAAATGCTCTTGACTATCCCTAACTTTGACATTTTTTTTCAGTTTTGGCAGGTGGTGCAATACTTCACAGAATTCCTCAGACTATGGCATTACAAAACTAGGCCTTGCACAATTCTCTTGTAGTTCAAAGAAGTGAAATTTGCACTAATAGGCATAATGCAAAACACCTAACTGTATAATCTTTGCATTTATCAATTCAGCTGCCTAAAAGAAAATGATATTCAGAACAAAATCATTAAGTATCCCAGCCCACAGCCATTACTGTACCTTCGGTTCTCTCCTCTTAAACCTTAAAAGCTACTCCCTAACCTTGAAAAGCTTAGGTGATCACTTTCAAGACCGAAACTGAAAATTGGGGCATGAAGATACCTTATACCATTAGGTACTCTTTTTAAAATATGCATACCTCTATTTTTTTTTAAAGGAAAGCTGGGATATATTTTGTATAATCCCTAGCCAGCATGGTTAGGCATTCTAGTAATTGGGAAAACACTATGTAAACTCTAAAGAAGGAGGAAGGGATGTCTTTTTAGCTATTTATATTTCTGTCTTTTTTTCAGGTTACTAGAAACCTTAAGTATCGTGGTTACCTGCTCTGCCTCCCTTCAAAAATTAAGGCCAGCCTAGAAAGCTTCCCCCTTTTCCTAAGGATTGGGGCGGGGAAAAAAACCCTAGCAATTGGAAGGTAAATTGGGGGATGGTATATATATAGAAAGGATTAAAGGAAGCACACAGGCTTCCTTTCTTTCTCCATCCTCTCTCTGAACAAAGAGGACCCTATTCCTCGCCTGCAGCCTGCAATTTAATTGGAAGAAAGCCCGCCTACCTGGCAGTTTTGGGGAAAATAAGAGAGAGACTATGCGTCGCAGAGCCCTTAACCCAGCATTAGCGTTTCTCCCCAATATCACGCCTCTAAAAGAAGAAAGGACACCACCCCCACCACGGAATCCTCCGTCCACAAGGCTGAAAACGAGGGCAAAGCGCGCTGGGCCCACCCGCCCCCGAAACCTTGCCAAGCCCCCGAAACCTTGCCAAGCCCCCAAGCGGCTGAAAGGGCACCCTTTCTGTGGCTTTTTCACGAGCCTCGATAAGAGCGTGAAAGCACCTAACCTACCGCAGTCTCCGCGAACAGCACGAGGCAAAAGGGACCGCTTGCAGGGAAAGGAGGTGTGGCACCAGCAAAAGAAGAAACCCGCGGCTACCGCGGAGGGTTTTATACCCTGAGAGACGGGAAGAGGGCAGGCCCGGCAGCGTAAAGGCGGGGGCACGGCAAGAGCGGCACACGTGCTCCTCTCCCTCGATCGTATCCGAAAGGGGGATTTTGGAGCCGAGAACAAACGCCGTCATTGGTTTAGGATTTCTTTTTGTTTTTTTTTCGTTTGGCCCTCCGTTCGGGCCTTTGCTGATAAACTCAGGTTGCTTGCGACGATCGACGGTCAGCGATTGAAACGCAGTCCGAACTGTTAAAAAAGAGATCGATCTTCGTTACGCTAACAAAAGCAATTCGCGGAAACCAAAAGAGCGACCTCTCTCGCCCCTCTCCCCCGAGCTTCTGTTTATAGTTAAGTTATGTAAGGTTTTCCACTCGCTGTTGGTCTGAAAACCAAATTGGCTTCCCGATAGTATGGCTGCCAGGTGGTCAGCCAACAGGGCAAATTCTAACACTGAGAAAGCCATACTTGGAATAATTGATTCTTGACATTGGGCAAGTGTTTTTTTTTGTTGTTGTTGTTGTTTTTTGGGGGGTCAGAATAAAAGAATAGCCTTACATGGATGTTACAATGCTTTAGGAAATGCACCGAAGGAATAAAGGCATTTTTTTCACTATCTCCCGTAATTGCTTCACGCTAAGTTCTTTAGGGTATGGCTTGCTGTACAGCCAAGTTTTTAGGGGACGAGGAGAGCATTTCTTAAAGCTACAATGCATTCCGTGTCCCCATTCCAGTTTTGATCTCCTTTGAATTTCCAGCTGATGTGGAAATCCACAAAACGGGCTCAAGATTCCAAAAGCCAAAGGCTCCGCCAAACGGAACACATAATAGACCAAATTAAACAGCCTGTGTCATACTTTCATTAACGACAGGCATAAGCTCGGGGTGGGTGGGTGTAAAACTGCATTAAAGTACTCCGCAGCTTTACTCACTGCGCACCATATAGGATTGTTAATGAAAATTCCTATTTTAATTTGGAGATGCCACATCCTTTCGACCAACCCTGGGAACTGCGTAGCGAAACATCTCGTTTCACAAACTACGCTTCCCAGAAGACATTGCACTCTTTGCACTTCCCTTTCTTCTATTCGTTCGCGCGCTGGAAGCCGATTGCTTCCAGCGCGCGAACGAATATGGATCTCGACAAATTCGAACGGGACAATTCGGTGAATTGTTTGTTGGCCTCGGCGGTGCCTCCTGTTTGCCGGACTGAGCCCTGTAGTTTGGGCATCGATGAGGCAGGCAGAGGACCAGTACTGGGTATGGATTCAAATATATGAGGGAACACTTCTTTGGGGTACTGGCCCCAAAGCATCATCCGGGGTGAATCCGGGGTAACGCGCTGGATTGTAT